CGGAATCGAACCTGGGACCCTTCAGTCCGCAGGCCGACGCTCCACCCACTGAGCCAAACCGGTTTCGGCTGTTTTTTTCCTTCTTGCTAACTTACCACTGAAGTGACATAAATAGAACCAACGGGAAGAAATGTATAAAAGAAAATTCCTAAAAAGTATAGAAAATATTTTAAGCATTAATTTATAAACTGTACATAGATCCAGAAAATGGTGTAGATACCCTAATGCAAACCGTTTAGTTTATTTAAATGAGAAAAGTGGAGCCCAGGCAGTTAAGTGATTTCCCTGAGGTCATGTTTTCTGTTCTGAGACAGAGCTGAGACTAAAACCCAGATTCCCACTGGTGTAAACTTGTGCTGCCCTGAAAAGAGGCATATTACCTTTCACATTACTAGGGATTATTCATATAACATATAATAATCATATATTTGTACTATTTGATACATTGTATATGAATTGCTAATCATATATTTGATAATGTACTGTTGAAATTATAAAGGCTAAAATTGTGGATGTTTTCATCTTCCCCAAAAGTTAATGATCTTCTTGGTTTTAATATTTCATTTTTAAAATAAAATATTTAAACCCTCAAGTATTTAAATTCAAACTCAAGAGACAGAAACATTTTATCTGTTTCTCTATCATACTGTTCCTGATTAAAGTTTGTTAGTGCTGGCAAAGCTGTCATCTTACCCTCTTAGTGTGTAATGATGCTCCTTAATTTACATGCCCCCCCCACACACACACACTTTCCAATTCAGAATGTGACATTCATCTACAGTATGTCTCTAATACAAAATTTCTTATTTCTAAATATTTTCTTTCATGTCTGATAACTAACTTGTCTGATAATCTAGCAATGTAATGATCTTTGTTGCCTCAGGAATATGTTGCAAGTGAGGGTGAAGAAGATCCAGAAGTCGAATTTTTAAAGTCACTAACAACCAAACAAAAACAGAAACTTCTCAGGTAATGAAAAAATGTATGTTTAATTAATTCTGTTACATTTTTTGCATGTTCCATCTTTGTATCATATTCAACTCTGATCCCAAGAGTTCATGAAGGTACTTAAACCAATATATCACATTTATTTAATGATTTATTCTTCAGCTATAGTAATACAGTTTTGTCTTTCTTTAAGTAATATGAAAATGAATCTAAGATTATACCACACACACACAAAAAGCACTTTTCAGAATACTTAATTTGGAAATAGATTTATTTGTAGGATTTACTTGGTATAGATTTGTATATATCTTTGCAGTTTATTCTTAGAAAATATTTTGGGCCATGTATTGCTCTTTTATATTTTGTAAGATTTTATGAGGAATGCTGACAGATGCTTAAATTTAAGGTAAATATGAATCTTGTTAAACATACCACCTTTGGATTAAAGAATCTAAGAAACGGCTGCTGAGTCCAATAGAGGGAGCTCATGCTGTGGGTGTTGAGAATTGCTGGACAAAACCAATGAAGGACGTTTTCATTCCAGAATGACGTGAACAAGTTCCTCTTCTGGGAATGTGAAGTACTCTTTAGAAATTCAGAATGCCTTAATAGAATTATTCTAATTACTTATAAATCTAAACATACATGTTGAAAACCAGTATGTGATTATTTTGTTTTATATAACCAAAAAACAGGATAAAAAATGTAAAGTGTATTCTTATTCAGAATTTCTGGAGAATATATCCTTGAATTTTGATAATGTAATATTGATTAATATTCCCATAATTTAAAATAGTACATACATAAAAATATTTTTCTCTGATTATAGTTATATATTTTAGTTTGTAGTAGGTCCAATTAATGAATGTTACAAGCCTTTAGGTCAGGATAACCATTTATTTAGAGTGCTGTATCATTTCAAATTCTGATTCAATAGGGATTTTTTTTAATAGTGAGAGAATTATCTTAATGCATTTACTTTCTTATTTATATTTAATATGTATGTGACTTGAATAATTTAAGAGGAAGAAAATATCTTGTCATTTAATAAAGTATGTGTTTATATTTGAATACCTCTTTCAATAGCTTCTAAGAAAATATATTGTCTGTTCAAAATTTTGTTTGTCAATAAAAGGACTATTTTTAGTCTCTTACTTTTTTTCCCAATTATAGGAAATTGGATCGACTTGAGAAGAAAAAAAAGAAAAAGAAAAAAGATAGAAAAAAGAAAAAGCTTCAGAAGAGTAGAAATAAACACAAAAAACATAAACACAAATCTTCCTCCTCCTCCTCTTCCTCTTCCTCCTCTTCTTCCTCCTCCTCTTCTTCCTCCTCCTCCTCCTCCAGTGAGACTTCAGAAAGCAGCAGTGAGAGTGACAACAAAGAAAAAAAAATACAAAAGAAGAAAAGAAAGAAAAACAAATGTTCAAGAAATAAAAACAATGATATAGGAGAAAAGGACAAGTCTAAGAAGAGAAAACTTTATGAAGAACTTTCTAGCAATCATTGTAATAAGGAGAAAGCCAAGGAAGAGCCTAGATTTTTAAAACAAGAGAGTTCTAGGGAGACTAACAAATGGAATCATTCTAATTTTGACAAAACGTCCAGAAGCCATAACCACAGCCCAGAGAGGAGAGGATCTGAAAGAATTGAGAGGAGCAGGAGAAGCCGGAGCAGAGATGAGAGGAGCAGGAGAAGCCGGAGCAGAGATGAGAGGAGCAGGAGAAGCCGGAGCAGAAGTCATAGTAGTTACAAGCAAAGGGAAATAAGAAAACGGTCTTAGCAAAGTCCCAGTAAAGAGCGGAATAGAAGAAATGATACCAGAAGCCACGGCACAGATATATACAGAGGAGGAAAAATGCACAAAGAAAATTCGGGAGATAAGCATACTGGAGTGACAGAAAAAGAATGAAGAAGTAGAGAGAATAGAGACTGCATGTGACAATTAACTGGGAATAAAAATATCTCTACTTATCAAATACTTCTAGCAAGGGCTAATATGTATTATTGTCTTTCTAATAAAAAAGCTCTATTTTAGTTTTCAATCTCTGTAAACTCATATCAAAAACAAAACTACATAAATCTCATAAGAATGAATTTTGCAAATATTTGTAAGTAATCTATTTTGGAGCTGTAAAATATTTTCTGTTGGTAAGTATTTCTTGTGCGCGCTATACCAGATTAAAAAAAAACAAAAAACACAAACTCTGTGACATTGTCTTTCTTCTGAAACATCATTAAAAGAATGACAGCACAGTTGAATGGATATAATTTAATTTGTTAATTTCAATTTACTAGAAGCAAAATGTAAACATTATTGAAATTCACTAGTATGAATTAAATATTGGGTTGATCAGTATTTCCTTAAAACTCCCTCATGTGTTTTGTTCTCCAGAGTAAGCTATTTACATTTGGGTGATACATTAATTTTCTATGCTGCCATAACAAATTACCTCAAACTTAAAACAATACAAAAATATTCTACAGTTCTGGAGATGAGAAGTCTAAAATAGGTTTCACTGGAGTAACATAAAAGCGTCAGCAGGGTTGGTTCTTTCTGGAGGCCCTACTGGAAAGAAAACCTGTTTGCTCGCCTATTCCAGCTTCTAGAGGCATTCCTTGGTTCCTGGTCCCTTCTTCCATCTCCAAAGCTAACAAAGGCAAGTCGAGCTTCACGTCTAATCACTCTGACACTTTGACATTCTTCATCCCTCTTCTTTTTTATGGACCCTTGTGATGATAATGAGTCTATCAGGAGAATTGTCCTATTTTAAAAATCAATTTGCAACCTTAATTCCCCTTTGCTACTTAACCTAACATCTCAGGTTCCAGGGATTAGGATGTGTATATCTTTAAGGGACCATTATTCTACCTACCACAATGGTCTTTCTACTACTGGCTTACAACTATTAGAATTTACTTCTAAAGGTAAAGTATTTATGTAATGTCACAAATGGACCAAAGTAAATTCTTCAGCTATATTTTATGACTATAGGTATATAAGGTTTATTTAAACTTTTCCCTCGTGTTTCAAATGATCTGGTAAAAAGAAACTATAGGGGGAAAAGTAGTACAAATTACAAGTAACATGGAATTCTAAAAAAAGATACACATCGTGGACACAAGTATTTTTATCAGGGTTCCACATTTTTTAAACATGTTATATAATACAATACAGGTATTGATTAGATGGTTTTGAGGGTTGGCAGCATAATTTTGTAAATTCTATAAGAAGTAAATAAGTTTGGAAGAAGGGGTAAATGAAACCACTCCTTGTAATCTGTTATATATGTCTGCATCTTGTATATCACACACGAATGTCTTCTGATTTAGAAGCAACTAAAGGTGTAAGAAACGCTCTGATTATTTAGATTTTTCAGAGAATTGGTGGGGAAGAACTTGAATTCCTTCTAAAGTTATTCTTTAATAACTTACAGTGCACCTACAAGATCCTTTTCCTTCATTTAGAAAAAGCATGCATTTGAAATGGATAAAGACTGCTAATTTACATCTTGAATTCATTAGTGTTGCACTAATTTTCTATCTTATGCCTTTTTATACTTTATAATGTCAAAATCTATGCAATATCTACTGCCTTAAATGATTTCTGAAGGGAAATATAGTGTTCATGAAGAGAAATGTTGAAATGCATCCTGTAATTTAAAATGAATTAAAGAAATACATTATTTTTTACACTTTTTTCATTTGACTTTTACAAAAGTGTAGTCCTCTTTTAATTTAATGTGGCTGTAGGAATTTTTTTTAAATCTCTGGTTTAATTATCCTTCATTGTTAGACTGAAAAATATAAACTGATTTACCAACTTATCCATCCAATGGTGAGAAAAATTCCCATGTATTTATGGAAGATACTAATTTACTATTTGGCTTTTAGCCTTGGTCACCCAAAGGTGCTAGACAGCCCCAAGGGGCTAGTATATCAACCTTGCAAACTTAAAAACTGAAAGAAGACATTTCACATATCACAAGGTAAGAGCTTTAAAGAAGCTCGCCGTACTTTTCTGCATACTCTTGATATGGATAAAAGGATTTGAAAGTGATTTTTAAAATAAAAATGTTAGACATCTAATTCCACTTTTGCTTTTGAAATATAAGGTCGAACCAGAGAGAAACCTCATAATTAAAAGGATGTCTACTTGTATGTGTAGAGTGCCGCCTAATACTATAAAACAAAAAGGAATCCTTCAAGTATAATGAATATTCAAGAACAAGAGTCCTCAACAGTGACATTTTTAAAGAAGAGCCACAGGAAAAGTCTGGTGATGTTTGTCATTCTTACTCTCAACAGAAAAATTATTTTAAAGAAATATGGATGTGCCTGGTGACATTTGTCCAGAGGCCTGGAAACACACTGACAGACTCAGGAGACATGTTGGGGGCACTCCCCTTTTCCCCGGCCTTACACTTAACATAATTTAACACTAGCAAATTAATTCCTGTAGGAGGTGCTGTTGATTTACAAATGGCCAGGATGGATCGGGTTCCTAGGTTAGGACTTGTTTACTTACCTGAATGTTACGGGGTTAGTCATTTCATTTAATAAATGTGCCAAAATAAGCAGAGTTTGCTTCAGTGGAGTGGCAGGTCGGCTTACCTTGCAATGTGGAGTGGAGATCTTGTCTTGAGTCGTACAGTTTTAATCTGAAAAAAGCTTTTTATCTGAAAGGCTTGGGGAGATGTATCTTGCTGTGCTTCCGTGAGACTGCTAGCTGATAGTGAATCAGATCAGTCTCCGCTGCTGGGAGCACAGCGTTTTCCAGTTTTAATCACCAGCCATTTACTACGCTTTAGCACTGACGCTCAAATATTTCCAAAATCCACCTGAGCCATTTCACTCACCTCCTTACCTAATGACCACTGGGCCCGGAAGCTGTTGGAAGGTGCATCCTCCACGCCCTGTGCTTAAGATCAGGAAGAAAGCTGCATTGCACCTTCAGTAGCTGAAGGATATCTAGAAATCTTACTTAGGTTTTCTGAAAAGGAAACTGGTAGTTACCACTTCTTGAAAAGAGATAAAGGCATGCACTAACTGAAGGCCTTGAGACTGTTTATTGGATCAAAAAGGAGAAATCCTTTTAAAGAGTTGTGAGGAACAAATAAGATGACCCAAAAAAGGTAAATGTCACCTCTCGCCCACAATCTGCAACTCTAAGATTTGGGAAATCCGCTGACAGCTGAGAGCTCCTGATGAGGTCCCTAAGGCCGGTCCTGCTGACAGAAAGGAAACGTACTCATCACCTCCCCTCTTCCTCCTCCCTTATGCCACACTTACCACCACCCTCAGAATGTAACAGTAATAGTGAAGCCAGCTGCCCGGTGAAACGCAGGAGCTGCCATTAGTGTCATGGAAAGGCACGCACATTCTGGCCCAAACTGCCCGGGGGCCAGTTTCTTTGACCCCGTGGGCAGAAGTGGAGGTCTGGGGGCTCGGTCGCTGGCCAAAGCGACGCTCCTAAGGACCTCGCCCTAAACCCAAAGGAAGCCAGAAAGGGGCTGCAGTAGGTGCTACAGTGATTGATTCCATCCCCCGAGGCAATGCCACCCCTTCGTACTACGCTGCTTTCCTTCTAGACCGCGGTTGGAAACCTTCTGAACGCACCTCAAATCCAAATGGAGAGGTTGAGAATTAGGGGGCGCATTCTTGTAAAAGACGCGCCCCAAGCGCAAGGCAGCAGCTGGATTTCCCACCCGCAAAGTGTTAGGGTTTAGCTCACAGCAAGGGTTCCCTCGCGCCCTACGCCGGTGGCCTACCCAGAAGAAACTCCCGGGCCACCCGCCGGGCTGCGGGCCACAGGCGCTGCGCCCAGGGGACCGACGCGCCCTGCCGGTTCCCGCCTAAGCTCGCTTGGCCTCCGGCGCGTTTCTTCCACGCAGGTCGGAGGGCGGACTCGCCTTTGGTAGTCAGGAAATCGAGCGAATCCCTCTCGTCACTCAGGCTCCACAGGTGCAGAGGGCGCCTTAGGACGCCTCTGCTAATCTCACCCCTGGAGCAAAAAGGAAAGTGTCATCTCTCGCCTGCAATCCGCAAGCAGGAAACGGCCTGGGGGAGACACCCTATCCCTATGCATTGCTTTATATATGAACTATCCCGAAATAGATGTTTGCAAAACAATGCAAAATCTGTTATGAATTTCCAAAGAAAAAGTGCAAGAGTGTTGGAAAACCTAAAAACTTGGGTTCTTTTCTTTCCTGGATTCCTGAGAACAGGCCCCGGAACAGGACCCACGGACATTCTGAAACCTTCCCTTTAACTGGAGTTGCAAGCACACTGTATATATTTATACCAGTAACATATAGGGAAGGCATGTCTGTATGTATTTACCTCGTACATATTCCTATAAAATCTTGAGTCTAGAAAGGGTGGGGGGTAAATAACACTGAACGGTAAAAATTATGGAGAAGGGATAATAACTGATTACTAATTTGAAAGTAAATAAACAGGTGACTTTTTCAGATCAAATTCCTCCTTGGATCGTTACAATAAATATCTCTGAAGGAAGCTCTCTATTTATGTTGTCATTGATTAATTCTTCACTACCTCATTTGATTTCGATTTAGAACGATTTGATTCTAATTTAATTAGCATGTAATTTGGATGTACATAATTACTGTAATTATGACATTCAGGTAAGGCAGCTTTAGGCTGAAAGGCAATTTCAAATTTTCTAGCAACCTACTTTGTACTGAGAAATGGACAAGGACTTTGCGCCCTGCTATCCAAGTAGTAATTAGCACATCTTTGAAATAGGCAGTGCGGCGGGGTTTGTGTTAAAACAGCAAATACAAATGCAGCCGAGTTATCCGCTGCTAAGGTGGCTGTGAGTTCTCGGAAAGGCTGGCGTTTCCTGGGCATGAGATGGGGGAGCCCCGGGGCTGCTGCGGTCCACGGCGCCTCCGCCGCCTCGTGCGCGAGACTTGGAGGTGTAGCTTTTCCGATTAAAATACAATAATGGGATGGTGGGGAGGGGGAGCAGGAAAGAAGCAGCAGAGCCACGCACAACGTCTGAAGACTGGGGGTGGGGTGGTGGACTCGGAAGAGGAGGGAAGGGGGCGGCGGGGGAGGGCGATGCTCAGAGAGGAGAGAAAATTGGTCAACGCCCCCAGCTGTTATCAGATTTCAGATTTCAGTTTCAAAGGGAAAAGGTGGGAACAAAGGGGGTCAGTTTGCGCCT